AATCCAAAGTTCTTGGGAAATTCTTAGATGTTTTATTAATTACTTTTCAATATTAAGTCAAAGTTATTATTTAATAGTTTAATATTTACAAAAACAAGTTTACTCATATATATTTGAATGAACTGAATTTAACTGAACTTTGTAAATTTGAGAGAAAGGTGACTTTCTTATTTAAGTCTTTGCTGAGAAGGGTTATCTCTCGAAAATGTAAATCTGTGAATTGCTATTACTGTGCAAAGTAATGAAATGGAATAAGAAGGAAGAGGAATGGAGAGGGAAAAAATAGGAAAGGGAGAATTCTACATTCATTTTACTAATTTGACTGCATTTGTGTTGATAAGATGTTGGTCAAATTTGTTAGTCCATCCAGCTGTCTTCCTCCCTTGAGAAATTCTAGGGCAGTTCAGAAGAGGGCAGAGTAGTTCAGCTATGAGTGTTTGTATTTAAAACCTGAGAGACCAAACATCCTTTCTACCATGGAAATCTTGGGGAAAAATAACTGTTGAACTTTTGCTTCACAGGAATTCAATCTCCCTCTTCAAAGTCAATACAACTAGCATTCACTAACGGAGGAGATAGTTGAATTTGGATGGTTTTTCGTTGGCTTTGCTATTCTTACATTTTTCTCATTTAACTTTTAATTTCCATCTATAAAGTGGGACAGGGTTATTCAGTCACCTCCAGGCCACACAAACTACAGAAAACAATTCAGGAGCCAAGCTATCATTTTGAGTTCTCCGTTCTACACTGAAGATCATTTTAGAGTACTTAACTATCCATTTGTACAGTCTTTATCTTGCCACCTATCCCTTTTTAAAAACCTTTAGCTCTTTTTCTGGTATTAAAATTATACATATTCATGATTAGAAAGACATTACAGAACAATGAAAAACAAAATACCTACACAATTCTACAACTCAAGAGTGATAACTTTTAATGTCATTCTCTTCATTCTGTATTTCACGGTACACACAAACACATAATATATAGCTAGAGACCCATATATAATACATAATAATAACACAAATGTATCATTTTATGTTTAGAAACAATAATAGAAAGTTTTGACTTTTTCACATAACATTATGAATATTGTTCACATAACATTGTGAATAATCTCACTCCATTAAATATTCTTAAGGCCATTTTCTAAATTTGGACCTTATTTTGAAGACATTTAAAAAAGTGTATTAGATATTTATAATTTATATGATGACAACATAATTTTAATCCATAAAACTAACGTATAGCTCTGATTATTTCCTTAGCATAGATATCTGAGGTGGAATTTTAACTGAAACGGACTTATTTTTTAAGACTACTTTTCTGTCAGACTGCAGTGAAGAAAGGGCATAACAACTTATAACTACAGATGTGCAACAGAATCCCATTTTCCTCAGCAGCATAGAGCATTATTTTCTTAAAACATATTTTGATAACCCATTGGCCTTTTTTTTGCAGCTGGTTTTTGGGAAATACTATTTGTAATGGAGTCTAGAATAATTACCTAAACTGCACATAGAGCTGGCCTGGTCCCTGGGCACCTGGTTCTCAGGGCTTGTCCCTGTCATGCCATTTTGGTTTAATTAAAATAGTCATCTCAAACTGTTGTCATTTTCCGATGTCAACTCCATAGCATGTTTTTGGTGTCTACTGAACTAGAAAAAAAGGCTAGTAAGTTCTTTACAGTAATATTTACATTCTGATTACTATCTTATTTTACTTTTTGTCAAAGTAAATATTTCCATTTAGAGGATCTTTATTCTGAGTACTATATTTTCTCCCTCTAATGAAAAATATTAACTTACAGATACTCAGAAGGAAAAAGTAAGATCTCAGGCTTTCTCCTGGAAATTACTTTGTGTGCTTTATTGTCTTAAACCTAAGCTAAAGAGCAGTAACAGAAGTAGTTAAAAGGGAGGAGCATGTGTATTTCAGGATCTAATTTCAGTAAAATTAGTTTTAGGCCAATCGATGCTTTAAGAAAGTTTATCTTTGTTCTTCATCCATTTAAAAAACCCATATACTGAAAAACCTATGCGCTGTGTGCTTTACAATATGCTGCTGAGAGAATGAAAAAGACAGTCCCTGCTGTCTAAGGAATTTGCATTAATTAAAATGACAGGTTTAAGTAATTATACTAATATGACTATGACGTGCCTATAAGAGAAGTAAGTGCAAGGCTCAGTGGGGTCCTGAAAGACCTCAGGTAGCTAGTTTTCTAGATAGGTAAATGGTAACGTTTAACACCATTGTGACCAGTGAGTAAGGTTTTGCCAGATTTTATGGTAAGGGGATAGCAATGGGATATTCTAGACAGAAGGAATAAAACATGAACAGGATTCAAAGCACAGCATCACACCATCCTTTTGAGGAAGCAATTTAGCCTGGAGGGAAATGAGATTGGAGCCATACCAAGAGAGGAAACCACTGAAAGCTCCTAGGTAGAGAAATGACTTGTTCCTATTTTTGCTTCAGAAAGATATTTGAGGGGTTGGAGTGAATGGAATTAAGATGCAAGACAATACATAGGGAAATCAATTAAAGGGGAAAAAAGTGTTAAAGGTCCAAATCAGTGCTTTTCAAAATTTAGCATGCTTCACAATCGCCTGGATATGGGTGCTATCACACATATCAGGATCAATCCTCAGATTTTCTAATCGTAAGAAAGTATGCAATAAGGACTAAGAATGTGCATTTCTAACTAGTTCCCAGATAGCTTAGTGTAACTCCCAGATTTCCTACCCAAGCAAATGTCAGATCCTGGTTTCATAAAACTAAAAAGGGAAAGCATGAGGTAAAGGCTTTTCACTCTACAATTCCCCTTTCCTTTCAACGTTGTTCCCTCCAGTTCTCCGAGATTTACATGTTACCTGCTGGCTGTCTCTTCATTTTAGCATCTCTTCCTCATAATGTCAAACTCTAACTGATCCATTTGAATGTCTCTGGCTTAAGTTTTCAAAATTCCGGTCTCTATTTGTTTATGATAGACCCATGAACTCATACTTATGAATGTAAGAATGTGTTACTCTCTTTCAAGGTAACAAATTTCTACTTTAACAGTGACGGTGCTGAAATCATGCCTCAGCTCAGCGTGGTTTCTCAAGTGGGAATTTATGTGCCAGAATAGGCAATCTGCGGGGCTTGTTCTTTGACAGTAAGGCCTTCTGACATCCTTTAATGAACAAAGACTTGCTCTGTCAAAGCCTAGGGGCCTGAAAAATACCAAATACCAGTTAAAATTTTCTGTTCTTTGGATCCTGTTTCATCTAGGGTGAGTCACAAATAGGTATGATTTATCTTTGCTGAAGAAAAATAAGTGACTTCTAAAGACATTTTCATTTAATTGTACTCTAATAACCCTCTGCTTTGAATAACTTTTTAAATTAGATGCAGATGAAGCAGATCACACGGTGGTTACATAATCTTCTTCCTTGAATCATATTATGTACGTGTGTGCATACATACACACAGCACTCCTTACAAAAAGTTACTTCACTCCATTCTCTATCAGATTCTTCATCTATACAAGTAGAACTGCAAAATACCTTACAAAGTAGCAAGTGGATAAAATCTAACAGTGTATATAAAGCATCCAGTTCAGTGTTCCTTATAATAAACATACCTTCTTTCCTCTCTTCTCCTTAATGATTTCTTATCTAACCATGTTGGTGGGGAGTGATCTGCCTCTGGGCATCTTTGAAAGGAACCATAATTTGGATTGGGTAAAAGAGACAGTAGCGACATCACACTACTGATCAGGCTATAACAAAAGAGCCAACTGCAATTTTCTGCAATCTGCAGAAATAGTTATTCTGCCAATATCATTAGTAAATTCCTAGGACTATTTTAATGTTAAGTGTTGCTTCTTTCACATTAAATTTGCTTAGGCTTCCACTGTACTACTTTCCTCATTCCTGCTCCAATCAGAGGAATTACTCTGTACTTGATTTTGATGTGGGCATTTATACATAACTCCAGGAAACTTAACCCTTTCCTGTGATAACAAATAGAGATTTATAATTACCAAAAGGTATGAGAGCGTGCTGTATTTTTAGCCCTCAGTTTTGTATGTCTTCACCACAACTTGTTTTTAAAATAAGCCATGTTTACAGTTCGGGTATTCTATTGTGACTCTCAAGGATATACAGTCAGAAGATACCTGCATTAAAACATTGTAAGAACTATAATTTATTGATTATTTAGTGTGCATGAACTCTGCAAGATCTATATTTCTACCCATACCACACACATGTGCCATATATAATCCTTATCCATAGCACTCCAGGAATTTTTGCCTGCGTCCTAGAGGAAGGGCTGTGGAGCATGTTTTCTGTATTGCTTATCATCGATTAGAAACACTAACACGAGCATTTCTTCTCCAAAATTGGAAAAGCAGTATTTTTAAGAACCTGATGGATATTTCCCGCTGTTTAAAAATTCCCTTCATAATAAAGTTATTGCCAGGAAATTTGATTTTTTCTAAATTTATTTTGTATGTATTACTTTTGCCCCCACCTCACCTTTGTTTGACCCAGCTAAAGTGTATACGTCAATATTCAATCAATATTAAAATATAAGTCTGGGGAGAATCTCCAATAAATATTGTACAGGGAAAAAAAGTTGAAATCTTTTGTTTTGTTTTGAGACAGTCTCACTGTGTAGTTGAGACTGGCCTTTAACTCACTATGTAGCCCCGGTTGGCCTCAAACTCATGGCCATCAGCCTCCCAAGTGCTCAGATTAGAGATGTGTGCCATCGTGCCTGGCAGAGTAGAAATAAGTTCTAAGACAATTTAATTAGTACCACTTTATTTCAAGGATTAAAAATTTGACTTGACACTAGGATTAGATTCAATATCTGTCCTTCCTAGAAAATCCTCCAAGCAGCCTTTGCTCTTAAAGTTGAAAGTTCCAAAGTTTTGTTTCTTCAAATGTATCCCCATGTTTAGTGAGTTTTACTTAACACCAGGCATTAGTTCATCAGGCTTTCATACTCACCTATGAACCTGATGATCCTTCGTAGTAAGGGGTTCAGGTAACAGCATTCTCCAGTCAGAATGGTTTTCTCCTCAGCAATCAGGGATTCCCGTGTTGACTTTATAAAGTACATGGATATCTCACCAATAAAAATCTGAGAAAGGAATGTTTAAGAAAGTCAAGCTGGAGAGTGGTTTGATTAAAGAGAGATGGATCACTTTTTTAAAAGTAACTTTTGAGAACTTTCAATCCTTTTAAAAGAAATGTTGGAGAGATGAAGAGTTAGTGTGAATTTAATTCCTCAAACAATCCGATAAAGCAATAGTTGATAATTTCAGCTAGAGCTAGGGCATGATATTAAATTCTAAGGCCACATAAAACATAAATTGGAATAATAGATTGTAACAGAATTTATGATGAGGCTTATTCTGAGACATAATTTTTTACATTCAAGATATGATTTACAATGATGAGGAATTATTCAGATGAGCCAGTGTGCCCAAGGAGGCATTATATACACACATCACAATGCAGCAGTACTTTTTATACAGCAAAAGTATCATAATTCACACATTATACATCCTTATTTGATTATGTTTGTTTACATTTCTCCTACTCTGAAATGGTGGATGTCCCTTTTTTATTACGGCACTTACCTATTGTTACTCTAAGATCTGTTACCACTTAAATCACAGTGCCCTTACAGGGGCCATAAACTCCTTGATGGCAAAGTCTACGTCTTCCATCCTTGAATTATGATTTCAGCACCCAGCACAGCATAAAGGAATTAAAACAAGGAATTGGCAAGAAGTGAATTTTAACAAATGCTGCCACTGCTACAATTGAGTAAGACCCATCCATGAAGCAGAAAAGTTAATAATTACCATTATCTACCGACCACTGGGTGTCAGGCCTTTTGCCAAAGTGACATGCTCACTAGATCCTAAATGTAGGCATAATTATCTTTAGTTTACTGGTGAGGAATATTTCAGCGCACTTCATTGATTTACTCTTGAAATTATAGGTACAGCACACTTGGGCCCTGTTCTTCACCAGCTTTTTATTTTCCTCATCTCGATTTCAACATTTCTACAGAAGGGGGCTGGGGATTTAGCTCAGCGGAAAAAGCGCCTGCCTGGCAAGCGCAAGGTCGTGAGTTCGGTTCCTGGTACCGGAGAAAAACAAAAACAAACAAACAAACAAAAAATTTCTACAGAAGAATATGCCTTTCTATGCTATCCATAGACCTGAAATTTTAGAGAAAGTTTGTCAATGTTTTAAGAAATCCTCTGCTGTATATTTTTCTTTTATGAAATATTGATGATATAAGATGATAATATCATAAAAAGCACACAGATAATGTAAATAGAAAATTTGAACACTAGAATTTTTTTCAGTGTTTTTTGCTTCCATTTATAGATGAGAAAACCAAGGTCTCAGAGATTTAGCCACACACAGCCAGATGGTGTCGGGGCAGAACTAGCTCTTCCCTAGAACTGGCTGATGGTTCTGTTTCCACTACACCATTCTGTCTCATACTTTAACATCATTCAAGCCTTACAGTGGTTAAAATATACTGCATTTCAACTGCTTTGCTTTTGGTGTCCTCAATGTTAAGTACAAATTCAAATATTTTTTTATTCAGTCCCTACTATGTACTGGTGCAGTGGTTAAAATGAAAAACCACTGCAGTCAGCTTTTTTTGACTTCAAAGCTATATTTCTTTCTTTTTTTTTTTTTTTTTGGTACCAGGAATCTGGAATTGAACTCAGGACCTTGCTCTTGCCAGGCAGGTGCTTGTGCCACTGAGCTATATCCCCAGCCCTCAAAGCTATATTTCTGACCCTGATGACCTTGGAAACACTATTTAACTGTTCTGTGCCTCTACTGGCTTATCTGTACAATTAGTTCTGTGAGCTACCCCAGCAAGTCAGTGGAACCAGACAAGACAGTCGTGGGAGCCCTGATATATATATAAGTCAGAAATACAGGTTACAGCATATTCCCATGATTGGCATTTGACATGGGGACAGTCCTGTCAAACTGAGCACCCAACTGAAGAGATCTGGTGCAGCCTCCGGGGAGATAGTATTAGGACTGAGTTAAACTATAGAACACACAGTTGGTATCAACTAGATAACCGTTTAGTATGTGAAGAATAACACCGCCAACACATACACATATGTATCTTCTACCATAGGTGTTCTGTTGTCACTTTGTAAGAGTAGGAAAAAAGTTATGTTTTTCCTTTGGAAATATTATGAATTTCACACAACTTAAAAACTAACCAGAGAAATGGGATGGAGACTTACAAACCCAGGAGAACTAATAAGGGAAAATAAGCATCACTTGCCTTAGCTATTTCAAAAAACCCAGTCTTACTCTACAGCAGTGATGACAAACCTTTTAGAGCTTTCAGTGATAAAACAGCCTTCTGCAGCATGCGTGCCATAGGTTCTACACCACTGCTCTGTAGAAGAGTAGATGTGGAAATCCTAGAAATTCTCCATTCAGTAAGGCTTTGCACTGCACACACCAGGGTAGAGAGCAAAACACTGACATGCAACTTATCTGCTTATCCACATTAAAACACATCAGTGAGTGAGTGAATATATATATATAAATGAAGTAACTCCAAGGTGCATCAGACTAAACAAAGAAAAGGGATGGGGATCAGCTAAATCTGTAATGTCCTAAGATTTTTATGTCAAAAGTGCTAAATGAGACAAAGACTATCATTCAACATTCAAATAAAAAATGAGGTATAGAACATAAAAGGAAAAATTCAGAGCAGGAGTGTATTCTAATTGACACATCTAGTCACCAGTAATGCATGGAATGTATTACATGATGATGAATGTTTGTATAAGAAATAAAGAGAGGGTTACTTTATAACTGAACTACAGGGAGCTATCCCTGAATTTTAGGGAAAACTGCCAGACATACAGGTTGCTGATAAAGTACTTAAGCTCTCATATTCAAATGCTCTACACAGATATTCATTTTCCTAACCATACACTGCTTTTTTCTCCATTGATTGGGTCCTATAGCCTCATATAAGACCTAGCTCTGGGTGAAGAAGGGAAGATTATGAAGGTAAAGGGCCTTTTTTTTCTCTGCCAAGTCCTTAGCCCACTCTGGATGCCATTTCGCTCATAGTGGCAGATTTATGACTCTGGCTTTGGCACTGGCTGTGTTCCTCCATCTGTACTTCCGCCACACCACTCTGTCTCAATCTATTATTCAACTAAGAGCAGCTGGCGCATGTGGGATTCTCCATGTGTTCAGACCCGGTGGCCTTGCCTGTTTCGCCCTTTCTGATTGTTGGCTAACAAACACGGAATCAATCATAGCAAATGATCTTCTGGGAAGAAGTGGTCAAGGCCAAAGTAGATCTGCCAATGAATGAACTAACGGCAAGTAAATTCCATCGGTGCATTTTTTATAATCCTAAGTGACATGTGGCCTTTGGATAATAGTAAAGATATTTTAAATAACGAGATACAGTGGTTGCTCTTATTATTTAAAAAGTTATCTTTCACATATGAAAACCAAGAAGGTAAATAAGCAAAACAGAGCACATCATTTTTAGACTACTTTTATTCACAAAATTATAAAAAATATTTAATTTTTTACATTCACAGAATAAACATGTATTTATCATAGAAAACATGATGTTTAAATATATAATAGAGTAGAATGACTAAACCCAGGTAATTAACATATACGGAGCCCAACATACTAGCATTTTGGTTGTAAGGCTACTTAACATTCACTCTCTTATCATTTTTCAAGAATATGATATATTGGTATAAGCTATAGTTACTATATTATTCAATAGACTTCTTGAATGTATTCTTCCTATTTAACTGGAATTTTGTATCTTTGAGCAACATCTGCCCAAGTGCTCCTTCCTAAACACCCCAGCCCCTGGTAACCACAATTCTACTCTCTACCACCACGAATTCAACTTTTTTAGATTCCGCACATGAGTGAGCTCACGTGGCATTAGTCTTTCTGTGCCTAGCTTATGTCACTTAACACTATATCCACCAAGTTCATCTATACTGACATAAATGACAGGGTTTCCCAATTTTTAAATACTTGAATAGTATTTTATTGTGTATCTATATACTACATTTCTATCTATTCATCTGTTTGGGGGCATTTAGGATGATTTCATGTCTTGACTATTGTGAATAGTGGTACAATGAACATGAGAGTACAGATATCTCTCTGACACACTGATTTCATTTCCTTGGCCATATACCCAAGGTAGGATTGCTGGATTGTACGGCAGTTCTGTTTAATTTATGGGAATCTCCAAACTGTTTTTTCCATAATGACTGTACTAACTTACATTCCCCGTGTCACTGCACAGGTTTCTCTGTTTTCCACATTCTCACCACACTTACATTTTGTCTTTTTGATAATTATTATCCTGACAGGTGTAAGGTGATATGTAATTGCTGTTATATTTCAAATTTCCCTGATGGCTAATGATGTTAAACTTTTTTTTTTCATATAGCTATTGCCCTTTTGTGTGTGTTCCTTTGAGAAATGTCTATTTAAATCCTTTGCCCATTTTTAATCAAGTTATTGTCTTACTATTGAGTTCCTTATATGCTTTAGATATTAATACTTTACCAGAGGTACAGTTTGCAAATATTTTCTCTAACTCTGTAGGCTGTTTTTTTCTCTGTTGCTTCATTGGCTGCAAAGAAGCCTTTAAGGTTCATGTAATTCCATTTATTTACTTTTGCCTATGTCTGTACTTTCTGTATCATATCCAAGAAGTCATTGCCCACACCTGTGTCAGGAAGATTTCTCTCTATGTTTTTTTCTAGTAGTTTCATAGTTATAGGTCTTATATTTAAGTCTTCAATCAAGTTTAGTTTATTTTTATATCTGTTGTGAGATTAAAGTCCAGTGTCATTCTACTGCATATGGATATCCCATTTTCCATTATTTATTAAAAAGATTATATTTTTCTATTGTGTATCTTGGCATCTTTGTTGAAAATCCATTTGCTACAAATTTGGGGGTTAATTTCTGGGCTTCCTATCCTGTTCTATTTGGTTTATATGTCTGGTTTTATGCCAGTACCATGCTGTTTTGTTTACTATAGGTTTAGAGTATTTTGAAATCAGTAAT